CACACACACACACACACACACACACACACACACACACACACACACACACACACACACACACACACACACACACACACACACACACACACACACTTTGAGTCTTCCCAAAGCACCAGTGTTCTGCAGTTTGTGTGGGCCTACTGTACTGTTGCACAGGAAGATTCATAGCTAACCACACTGAAGATTATGGATTATCTCATATTTTTAAGCCTCAATTTGTCCTCCTCCTCCACCCCCTCCCCTCCCCTCTAACATCACCAGAAGTCATAATTTAAGGGGTCATTTCTCAAAAAATTATTCCGGGGGACGATCCCCTGGACCGCCCTAGTATGGTTGTCACCATTTCCAAAGCCCCACCAAAAATATTTTCCACCAGCCGCCACTGGTGACAATTATATTGTCAAGCTCTGTCTATCTCAATTACCATGTGCTTCTGTATTCAACCGGCAAATACAAACAGTACAAACAGTATAAACACACACACACACACCTTGGCAGGCTGGGGCGTGGAGAAGTTAAGCCAGGCAGGGACAAAGTCATGCTGCGCCATTTAGGTCCAGTGTTTCCGGTCAGTGGATCGAGGCATCAAACCTCATGGCCAGGATCTGATACAAAAAGGGAATAGACAGTAGGAATGACATCTTTAGGAATTCAGTTCCATGACATTTCTTTCAAGGAGTTTTGTCTACCGATAGATATTTAGACATTCACTGCATAAAGGGTCTCTCCCAAGTGCCAGAAAGAGTTCTATTCTTAGCAGAAAACAACAAAGCTCGACTTGATGCAGCTGTGAAAGAGGTTGACAGCTTGGATGGTAGATATCTTGTGCACCATAATACAAGTGTGTATGTCATAAATGTATTTAGCTCATTTAGAATTGCTGTGGTGATAAGCAGCTCTGTGACCACTTTAGTTTATAGCCTAGCATTTGCTTTTTACTTCTGCCCAATGCATTTCAAATTCAAAAATTGAAAAATCGTTGGAGATTATTCTGTTGTATAAAATGTGTAAGTAGCATGTTTGCCACAGATCATTTTTTCTAAATCCAAAATAAAAATTCCATTGCCAGTCTGGGATTTTGATACAATTGTGATTAATTGTGCAGCCCTCCTTTAAAACATTATGCATACTTTGTAGAAAATGAACACCTGCTAGTGACACAATGTTGACAAATGGCCATGTCACAGCAATTCATTTATCGCTATAGAGTACCCGGTGCATGTTTTGCAGCGGGAAATCAGACTGCATCATTACCCCAGAGTCTGGCTCTGAAGTCCTCTGCCTCCTCTCTCGGTCCGGCTTGGCTCTGTTCCTCAGGCCCGTTGGCGCTGATCACAGAGTGTGTGCACTGACGGACAGGGAGCGGCACACCGACGACCCCCTCTCCACCTCCCACAGGAAAGCACAGCCCCTTTCCCCAGAGGCAGATCCCTTCTTCCAGGGTGAAACACTGGGAGATGGGTCAAAAAGTTGCAGGAATGATCTGGAATGGCGATCCAGAGAACTGGCCAAGCAGGAAGTCAGATTGGTTCAAGAAGGAGAATCGCTTCTGCTTAACAGATTCCCCTAACAGCTCCTATGCGGGTCACGTCTCCGATGAATTTCCGAGTGCTACCGTTTCCAGTTCAGGTATTTCTTTCCCAGGCAGATTGAATTCTTCACAAACTCATTTGAGCCACTGTTTCTTATTGTCAGGAGTAAGAGAGTAACCCTGATAGCACTTTATGCTGAATGGCAAAAATGAAACAAATTCTTATGGGAAGCAGTCTGTGAAAGTTGTCTGCCCTGGAACATGGACAGCAGTTTGTGTAGCAGTTCCACTTTGACACCAGACGAGGGGAGACAGACAGCTGCCACACTGCGTGCCAGTATGTTTTGTCCTCGACTCGCCTTTTATCGAATCATTTTAAGATCTACCGAAACGCACGGAGAAAAGAAAAAAGGAGTTCAGAGACAGTCTTTTACTGGCGATGGAGGTCACTGAAAACCACTGCTCACCTCATTAAACGGCTGAAAAAGACTGTCTGAGTTTGAAGAAAATAATGCTCAAAAGGGTTCAAAGTCACATGACAATGAAGGAAGTAAAACCCTATGTTACATCGCCGTCATTTTCAGTGTTGGTTAGTGAAATATAGATGCTGCAGGATGATTCATTATAATGCCGTTTTTATCTGTATACGTTTTAATTTCACATTTGTAAGATCCCCATCTAATTATCTGCCGTTTTCTGATTGAAGCAGATATAGGGTTTAGCTCTGATTTCATAGGTATGCAAGCTCAAAAGCGAAACAGCAAATCTTCCAAAGAAAAGGGTTCTGCGTGTCATACGATGCTCAAAAGTCCTTCATTGACAAATAGAAATTGTCTGAAAAGAAATCCACGAGAGCCTATTCAACGTCCTCTTCTGAGTTGAAAAATAGAATACGTCCAAAATGTGTCATGAGGGTATTTCCCTTCCCTTCTTCAATGATGTTTTCTCCCACACGTGAAGTTTCTGCGAAGCAGTTTTCTGTTGTTCTTGCTCAGGGTTTACGGGTATCAGCACAGGAACACACTGGACCTGAATACAAGAAAAACAGACTTCATTCAGAAAAGCAGGTTCAACAAATATAAACTTATTAACACTAAGGTGTTAGTTTCTTTAGTACACATAGCTTGTCAAATTCACCAGTCCTGCAACAAAAAGAACCCTTCCTTTACGAAAATGAAATCTCCAGTTTTGTTCAAACTTTTTTTTATTATTAATAATACAAATAGGCTACTGCACATATTTTATTTTATTTCTCCGAGTATTAATTTAATGTAAATATTTCTCTATATTTTAATGTTATAACAATTTCTTTTTATATATATATATATAGTTTTCTATAATGGTTTAGTTTGTTGGTTTTAACAATTTATCTTCATTAAATATGTTTATGTAAGCGTCATGTACACAAAGACAAATTCCTCATATGTGTAAACCTACTTGGCACTAAACCTGATTTAGAAGAGTCTTGATTCGGGCTATAAGCTTTCTTTGAAGCCCGAATCTGAGTTTATCGTGTTTAGGTCACCCTTTTTGACATAAATGAGATAGACCACTCATTGATCAACACCTAAGAAAACACCTTTAACTGAATGCAACAGCTAGCAAAATTGCCATCTAATGAAATCTCTCTGTAACATGTTTAAGGCAGGGCTGTTATAATAAACTTGCTTCGCATAATACGGTATTTCGCTTAAAGCAATATCTTCTTTAATACTTATTTTACTGAAAACAGCTATGTGGGATGTAGGTAAGATGCTCCTTTTTTAAAACCCAAAATAGCTTCCAGTTCAAGAGATGCCTTCAAAGCTCACTTGAAATACATTTTTGAGTGTTATAAGAAAAAAAATCATGACTCAGTGATCTCATGCTGAAAGCTGGCTCTTTTTTTTCTAAATTGTGTCAGCTTTGGTAAATGAAATATTTATAACAGTGTAAAAATAACTCAAAATACTTTCTTCCTCGGTACTTCTCCCAGACTACTGCGCATCTAACCAGGCCGTGCAGACAGTGCAATGCTGGATGAAAGATATAAAACCTCAACAGCGATTGTTCACCCCTACATCTTGACAAACCATGCAATAAAATACAGTTCACACAAAATCCATCCCTGTATGCCAGCACACACTCAGAGACACCGTTAACGTATTCCCACTGAACTATTACGTAACAGCTCAACATCAACGAGTTTGCCACGGACACGGGCTTCAAAGAGCAACACAAACATCTAACGTTACTTCACTGTGAACAACACTCACGTAAAAGACGGCAACACAATGCACGCATTTTAACATTATTATTCACTGTGAAACCCCCACATGTCCACAAACACAGCAGCATGCAACACACAGTAATGTTACATGCACGCTTCACCCAGCTAACTAACGCTAGCCGAGCAATGTTATGTATTAAAGTGCATTGAAATACGTTAAGAAGCAATGCAGCCGTGGTGTGAGCTTAATAACCAAAGTCAATCGCCAACTAACAACGTTATCAGATCTGTGTCAGCTCTGCTGTTAGCTAACTCTGCTTAGTTAACTAAGGTTAACGTTAGCGTAGCACTTGTTAGCTCATAGCTGGCGTTAGTCAGCCTATTAAGTGACGTTAGCCACTGATAACTGCGAGGTAGTTGACTTTACTTAACACAGTTAGAGGGCTAAGCAAAGCACAAACGTATCCAATATGCTAACTGCAACTAAAACTGTCTATTTAGGCAGCTGTCACGTACATATAATAGAGGTAAACAGACCTGGCTTCGTTGGAACAACACAGTTTCAAAATGGCTACCTTAGCAGCGGCAGCACACATTCATCAGCCTGCTAATTGCTAGCGAGCTAACTTGCAGTATTTCGTGACGTTTACCTTCTCCGAAACAACATAGTCTCCAAATAGAGAATGTTCAAGGATATCAATAGTCTGAATATATTAACGAGATTGCACTTTTTTACAACTATGCACTTCTTTACTGATACGCTATTGACGTTTGTTTGGGTTTTCTTACCACTCGCTGCCACTGAGGGATTCGAACAGCCTCAATGATGCTACGTTCAAGATCTGCTGCGATTATGCAACCTAAAGAGGTCCCTTAGTGTTTTTAAAGTCGAACAGGCTCAATAGTCTCTGTAAATACGTTTCTTTTGAAATAACATACATGGCTGAACCTGGAATTCTGCAATGATACAATACATATATATATTTAAAGTACTCCAAGGACACTATTTCTGTAGCACGTAAAGTGGGATATTGCTATCCTGAATATAACTTAATACCTCCCCCGCCACTGACAGCCAAACCAGTCGATAACAGAACAGTCTCATTCAGTTTGAGAATATAAGAAGACAGGCATTTAATCGAGCAAGGATACAATGGCAGCATGCAAACGACCTTTAACTTAAGCTCGTCAACGTTAACTTTGTGACCACTAGCTCTGTGTAATTGTGCGTGTAGTGGCCATTGAATGACAAAACAATTAAAGGGTAACGTATAAGTCACTTCTGTGTTTTATTGATTGTTACAGTATGAAAGCTCTTTATTGCATCAGGGTGTAAGCTAACTGTAAATAGCACAACGTTGGTATAGGGTGGTTATATCATGTATACAATTCTATTGTGCATGTCTTATGGGGATTATGTTATTAATAATTAATAACCTTTCTTTTACAGATTCAAAATGATTACTACATCTGGAAGACGTTTAATTTCTGGGGTAAGAAATCCACTGTTGACAATGCGCATGCACTAATAAAAACATGTTTTTTATGCACTTTGATGCTTATCATGTTCTCAGGTTTCAGTATGGAGGTGTCTTCAGCAGATAACCAGTGCCCCACACTACACAACAACATCTCAGCTGTTTCCTTCTCAAGCCTTGATGTCATCCAGACTCACTCCCACCAACAGTTTGTTGAGCATCAGCTGGCATGCCTCACGTCTGTGCCATGGGGACTCAAGAGCCATCTCAGGGGGAGTCGACAGGAAAGACGGCTTCAGTTTGAGGGCTCTCAGCCAGGCTCCTAAACCAGCCCTCTACATCGGTGTCTCTGGGCTTATCCCTTTCCTGTCTGCCCCTCTCCTGATGGCTGCCACACAGACCTTCTACCCGGAAGTGGCGTATGCTCAGATGGTCTACGGAGCCTCCATAGTGTCCTTCCTCGGAGGCGCCCGCTGGGGGTTTGCCATCCCAGCCGGTAGTCCTGCCAAGCCTGACTGGATGAACTTGGGCAACAGTGTGGTTCCTGCACTCCTGGCCTGGATGGCGCTGCTCTGCAGGGACAATATAGCAGAGGGAGCTCTGGTGGTTATTATGGGATTGGGCCTGTCTCTGCACTATGACCTGACCCTGCTGCCGGGCTACCCCTCCTGGTTTAAAGCCATGCGGACTATACTCACTCTGATCGCCACTTTCTCACTGGTGGCTACCCTGACAATTAAGAAATTCTGCCCTGAGAAGAAACTTAAAGAGAGTAAGAAATGACTCAAAAGGGACAGTGTGTACTTTTTAAACCACATGGACTCAATAAAACATTGAAATTATGCACAGCTGTGAAGACACTCAGTAATTATTTAACGAAGTAATCGTTTTTTCACTTTTAGGACAAATGTGAGTGAAATATCATTTAGAAAACAAAGAAGTTGCCATATCCAAGCGTAAAACAAGAAAGACTTTGAAAGAAAACATTTGTAGAATCACATTGTTTGTGAAAAGTTATTATTAGCCGAATAGCCGTGCGTATTCTGATCACTCGGGCCGCTTCTTTCTCACTGGTGGCTAGCGTGAAAATGAGGAAATGCTGCACTGAGAAAAAGCGTTCAGAACTGAATTTACGAGGACAGTTTGTACTCTGAGTCACATGGACTCAATAATAAGTCTGGTCTGATTTGTTCATACTGTACATCATCCCTGAACAGTAACTCTGTAACATATTAAATAGTTCTAATATCTTTTGGGACAAACGTGACATGTATAAAAGTATTATATCTTACAAAGAAATGAATAAAAACAGTTGCAAAAGGGGCTCTAAAATATCCAAATGTTGAACAACAAATGTAACATTAATCAGAATCATATTCCTTGCTGTGAAAAGTACAAGGAGAATAACATCGCGGATACAAGCAGCCGAAATAGGTTTCCTCCGGAGGGGGGCTGGCATCTCCCTTAGGGATAAGGTGAGAGGATTCGGAGTCGAGCAGTTGCTCCTTTATGTAGAAAGAAGACAGTTGAGGTGGTTCGGGCACCTGGTAAGGATGCCACCTGACTGCTTTCCTAGGGAGGTGTTTCAGGCACATCCAGCTTGGAGGAAAGAATCAGAATACCTTTATTAGTCCCACATAGGGGAAATTTGCATCGTTACAGCAGGAAAGAGCCACAGACAGCTTAATGTTACATATGTTACAAAAAAAGTACTAAGTTATGATATAATTAAAAATATAATTAAAAAATAGTTTTAAAAAAAATACTTTTCAAAATACAAATCCTGTAACAGTTCTTATGATTTAGCAGCCAGGTATATATTACACAGTTATTAATGGCATATGTATATAATGTATATATTGCACATATAGCACATATTGCACATAGTTTGATGGTATTTAACTGCAGAAAATTACACAATTTACAAAATACAAAATGCAAAAAACAAACCTTGTAACGGTTCTAAGGATTTAGCAGCCAGGTATAAATTACAGTTATTAACGGCATATAGTTGATTGGTATTTAGCAGCAAGGGGTGATATAGTCTGTGTTGTGGTGTGTGTAGGGGAGGGGGGTTTACTAGGGGCTGTGCTGGTTGTATAGTCTGACCGCTGCAGGAAGGAAGGACCTCCGATATCTTTCCGTGAGACAGCAGGGGTGCAGCAGCCTGTCGCTGAAGGAGCTGCACAGTGAGGACAGGGTGTCCTGGAGGGGGTGGGACATATTGTCCAGCAGGGAGGACAGCTTGGCTGCCATTCTCCTGTCTCCCACCACCTCCACAGTGTCCACAGGACTCCCCAGGACAGAGCTGGCCTTCCTTACCAGTCTGCTCTGTCCCTTCTTGTACAGAACAGCAGAATTATCAGTCCAGTCCAGTTTATTGTTCAGATGAACACCCAGGTATTTGTAAGATTCCACAATCTCAATGTCTGCTCCCTGGATGTTCACTGGTGTCGGGGGGGAGTGTTGGCGCCATCTGAAATCCACCACCAGCTCCTTGGTCTTCGCTGCATTGAGCTGGAGGTGGTTCCTCTGGC